GGCCAATCAGAAGAACTTGTCTCCCACTGGTCACTTTCGGTCAGTTATCCGATCAAAGGTGAATTGATTTACCTATTAGCCAGTAAGTAATTAGATTATGAGCTGCGGGAAAATTTAAGGGATGTAAAAAACCGAAATAGTCTGAGCAGTTGTCAAAATTCGTTAGATTGAGTTCAAGTTTTAATTACTTTGTGGTCTTCAAGTCCTTGAATTTTATAATAGCATAGATGATAGCCAGCCTTTTACCCTCTCCCAACGTCTGAACTGGTCAGTTCTGACGTCACGATTGTTTGGCGAAATCAGGAGAATGGAGGAACGCGTAAAGTATACTGTATTTATTGCGTATTGTGTCAATGCTAAAATGCATTATAGCTCACTTACCAATGATTTCAATTTTAAGCTAATCTTGTATATTAAATCACTAATATTTCTTAAATATTTAGCAATTTCCTTCTTTTCTCACAACTTGACTGCCTTATAAGTGGAAGACATTACGAACTAAGAAACCGTAGACGAATCACCCACGTGATGGCTGGCTTAGTAGCCTTACCAATTTTTCCAATGTCGATAAGACCACAATTACTCTGTACTTGAAGAGGAAAAAATGTCAAAAATTTTTACCATTTGCGTGTGATCCAGCAAGCCCCTGATGTGCCTTATTTCTTATTCGTGTACACAAACTTAGTAGTGGCAAGCATCCTTCAAAGTGATTTATTTTGGAATTAACAGCTTTTTAGCCATTTAACACTGCCCTCCCTGGTTAGAAACCCAAACTGAGTATTTGAATTTAATAGTAAATGTAAGTGTGTTAAAGGAATGGACGACTACTGATCAGTAACTGTTAGAACCATAAACCTACTGACAATTGAATAGGGACATCTGAAGAATCTGAAGGAATACTATGCTAAGAAGGCATCCTGAAATATGTTCTTTTTTGTGATAGGGTCACTTTTTAAATTATTTTACTATCATTGTCCTTTAAAACAAGGACGTTGCCTCGATGCCCGCTCTCATCACAACAGAAACTGATCATTCAACTCCTTTAGCTGAAAATTCCTTAGCACCCGTAAGTACTTGGAATCGCTGTTAGCAATCATAACATTATCCATATATTATGGCAGTTGACAACAGTGATTGCTTTGAGCAGAATTCTGACAGTCCGCTATCATATGTGGCAGCCAGTACACTTTCCAGAAGGAACTTGGCAGGAGCTGGATTGGAACATCAATCTGATTTGTGTACCCCCACCGTGGTCTTTACTGGTGTTTTTGATGTAGCACAATTTGCCACACACCACTAGCAAATCATGGAAGCTGTGATGTTGACAAATGCCATGGTGAATTTCATTTATGTCACTACCCATCGCGTAGATAATGGCCAGGCTAGCTACTTAGCCCCGATATTCTCAGTAGGCGCATCTGCTGATAACATTCATTTATCACATTTCGCAATATATACAGAGAATGTCTTGCCTAAAATGTGTACTAAATACTAATAGGTCACTATAGGCTCAAATGCTGCAGGTTTTATAAATGGTCTAGGGTTAGGACGGATACTCAGTCGTTTTTTCTGCCATTTTAGGGTCCTACAAAGGTTGCACGAAAGCAGCTCGTGCAACAAAAAAATAGAAATATTTGCAAATTTATTTTCACCATTCCATCCCTAATTCCTTCGTGTAGTTTTTTATCATTAGCCACAATGAATTGTTGTTTACTGTTGCAAAATTATGCTGCTAACATAAGCGTCAATACAGGACCAGTCATCTACAACGAGGCTACGGCAATGTGTGCCTTTAACCAGATCATGAATAATTAGCCCCTGGTAGTGCAGCCCACCGCTTTCCTAGAGCCAGCAGCGCCTGCAGAAACTTTGCAGCTGAATCCCTTTGCACTAGCTATGGACAACATTATGGCTCAACATGATCTATGGCGAAATATGCTGCAACACCAACAGCAGCATTGGTTGCATCCCAGCTTGATAAAAAATAATTTTTATCCCTCACACAGGGTTGTTCAATGTAAACGCCTGCCATTCCTTCTTTCGACGCAGGTAGATAGCATTTTGACATCCATGCTATGGAATTTTCTTCCCTTCTAGTCTTCAAGCATCTGTACTTAGGTATCCACAATGCTTTTTCCGTGAGTCTGCACCTTTTAATCCCGTTTCAACTGCCTCTTTTAAAGTAAATTATTAATTAAATGAGTCTATTTCGCCTTCAGCTGCATCAGATACTCAAAGCCCAGTTCAAGTCTTAGACATACCTCTTCATCAACGAACCCTTGCAGAGGGCGAATGACAAGTGGCCCTGAAGACTGCAGCCTATTCATATTTCACCTGCCTCAAGTGTGTGATGCTACATATCTTGCCATTCCTTTCTCGCGGTTCAGTAGGGTTATCAGTGCAAAGG